CCTAAATCCCAGCGACTGCCTGGTGCCAATGTCTGCCAAGTTTTTGGCTCAGGATTCCAGGGTAATATTAGGAACTTCATAATTAGAATGGGGTTTGGGGGCCCGCTGTACCATGATTATAACTTATAACAAAGAACCTCCAAAATTGCATAGGTAATTATTGAGGCCCCTAGAGTGTCCAAGCTCTTGAATGAATTGTGGGGGTCGCTGTCGTCCTGAAGAATGCTGGGATGCGAGACCATGACAAGAACAAAGTGCTCATCTTCGCTGCAGCATTAACTGTTCATGATCTCGCTGATGAAGTTATGGACAGTGAACATGGTCAGTATTAACATCATCTTAAACGAAAGAAAACCGCAAACCCTAACCGTAACCCACCCGTGTTCATGAAACGACCTGCTTCACATGGAGAGCCGCTGCCTGCGCCAGAAGAGGCCGCAAGGCTTTTGCCAGTGTGCTGTCCTGTGCTATGGGTTTAGGTTTAGGGTTTAGGACTTAGGGGGTTTAGGGCTTAGGTTTGTTTTAAACGCCCCTATAGGTTTCAGGGTTTACCTGTGCTATGGTTTTAGGGTGCAGGCTGCACAGGAAAGAAACGACTATGGCTCGAAAACCTGAACCCTATGTAAGTCTAAGCTACATTGCGAAAGCTTCGGAGTGTATCGATTTTGTTGCAGTGCACTTCATGGTTTTCGTTCCACATGAGCTTTCACCGCACGTTGCAGAGGAGTTCAGGGTGCTTCCCAGCAAACATCTGAGATGTGCACAAGGGTGCCACTCAGGAACCCAGTAGACCCTAAACCCCGATAGATCCTTTAAAGAACCGTTTAAGGATCCGTTATAGAGCCCCTTAAGGAACCCTTTTTAAAAAAGGGTACTACTCAGGAACCTTGGTGCAGGAGGAAAAGGCTGGGCCCCCAAGCGCCTATTAATAGAGCCCTTATGGTTCGTTAGGGTTTAGGGTTCAGGGTTCAGGGTTCAGTGGGTATTTAAGGTATACTAGAGGCTAGTTGAGGGTCAGGTGGGGAGTTGGGTTTAGGGATCAGGGTTTATGAGGTCCATCGAGATTCAGGATCAGGGCTTAGGGTGTTTTGGGCTTTAGGGTTTTAAGCTTCAGGTCGAAAGTCTGGAATTCCTTGACTGTTGTGCCCCAAAGAGCATGATACTTGCACTGTCAGGGACCCGAAGGGTCCATGCACTCATATAGAAAATACATTGGCCTAAATGTGGTCCCTATATAGGTACTTTGGGGCTCATGTATCTCTATATGGGTACATGGACCCCACTTCTGGGCAATGGGACACGACCTGCAGTACTTCAGAATCCTACGCTGCTATGTGCTCACCCAAAAGCCTAGACCCCAAACCCGACAACTTCAACTTTATGTCAATCCTACTTGGAGGTTCATGGGCAGTTATAAGTAGGGCGATAAGTAAGTATGCTTATAACCCATATTTAATAAGGGACTCGAAACCCCACTTATAACTACCCATGAAGCTGCAAGTAGCACCCAAAACCATATACCCTTTTAAAATCCCTACAGATCCCTTTAAAGGGATCCTTACAGGAACCCTTAAAGCTACCCATGAACCTCCCATCCTAGCGCCCTGAACCCCACGACAGCTGGGAGTTTCCGAAAATAGGGGACCCTAACATAGTACCCTAAATAATAAGATCTTTATTATAAGGGCCCCAAAATAAGGTACCTCTAATTTTTGGAAACTCTAAACCCTAAACCCTTCATAGAACCCTCAAAGATCCCTTAAGGGACCCTATATAAGGATCCCTTTAAAGGTACCCCTAATTTCCGGAAACCCCCAGCTATTACGTCACCAGCGTCCCTCCGCGGGTCCTCAGGATGCCCCTGGGCCAGTTTCGTGGTTTTTGGATTCTTTTTTTTGAACGCCTTTTTCCTCTCGCCCAGTAGGTTGATTAGAAGGGGTTTAGGGTTTAGGGTTTAGGGCTTTGGGTTTAGGGTTTAGGGTTTAGGGTTTTGGGTTTAGGGTTTAGGGTTTAGGGTTCAGGGATCTGGGTTTCGGGCTTCGGATTCGGGGTTCAGGGATCTGGGATTAGGGGTTATGGGGGAAGTCTAGAAATCTAATCTAGGGTTTAGGGGTTTAGGGGGGTTTAGGGGGGTTTAGGGGGATTTAGGGGGGTTTAGGGGGGTTTAGGGGTTTAAGAATTTAGGGTTTCGGGGTTTAGGGTTTCGGATTCGGGGCTCAGGCTTCGGATTAGAGGTGTTAGGTCTTGGCTTCAGGGGATCGAGCAGCCAGTTCCCAAGATTTCCGGAGCTCGGAGGGCTTGGGGATTTAGGGCTTAGGGTTTCGGATAATTTAGGGATTTAGGGCATAGGGTTTCGGATGGTTTAATTTTGCAAGAGTTCGAAGGGCCCAGGTACCGAACAACCACATACTCCCTGAAGCACTAACTGGCCTACAGTTACCTCTATCCTAAAAGCAAGCACCTTCTTCTTCTGAGTATTGTTGTTACGGTCACCTGGAGGCTCATAACCCGACCCCTTTTTTTAGGGTACCCACTTCTGTATATAACAGACCCTAACCAGAAAACTAGGTATCCTGAAATAGGGGTAGAGTATGAGCCTTCAGGTATGATTGGTGTCGGCGCTATGGACCGGCGGGGCTGAAGCACTTATGCTCATGCGACCCAAACCCGAAAGGCAGTTAGACCCGGGAATGCCTAAACCCTAAACACCCCAAACCCTAAACCCTACGGTATACACCCTCAACCCTAAACCCTAAATCCTAGGAATCTTTCGGGCTTCTACCTGCTTTAGGGCTTCGGGGTTCGGTCCGAAGTTTTGGCTTCAGGGTTCAAGGTTCAGGGTTTAGGGTGTGTGTGTGTGTGTGTGTGTGGGGGTGGGGGGGTTAGGGTTTAGGGTTATAGGGGAAGTCTAGAAATCTAATTTAGGGTTTGGGAGGCACGATTCTCTGCTCATGCATGTTGTATGGAATGTCTTTTTGACTAAACCCAAAGAGCTGGCCTCCAAGATGTCCTTTTCTGTTAGGAGCATTCCGGGACTAGAATCCTAAATCCTAAATCCTAAACCCTAAATCCTAAATCCTAGACCCTAGATCCTAAATCCTAAAGCCTAGATCCTAAATCCTAAAGCCTAGATCCTAGGATTTAGCTTTATCAACTGCTTCCCAGTGTGTGAACTCTGGGTTGAACGTAGGTCTCCAGGCTGAGGATTTTCAGTTCGGGCGCGAGGGTCCAAGCCCCCCCCCCCCCCAAGCCCTTTATACACCCTACCCCACAAGCTCAAAACCCGAAACTTTAAACCCGAAACCTTAAACCCTAAACCCCAAGCCCTAAACCTCAAACTTAAACCCTAAACTTTAAACCCTAAACCATAAGCAATACAGTGAACACCGGCTCGTGCCTCCTCTGCGCTCGTTGAGGAGGCTGGCGTCTTCGCAAAGAGACGCCGCAACATCGCGAGGCTCCGCCCGAAGGGGCCGAAGTGTTGGGTCGGAGGATCAAGTTAAAGGGATCCATTAAGGGTTCCATTTAAAGGGATCCTTTAAGGGTTCCATTTAAGGGGGTCCTTTAAGGGTTCCATTTAAAGGGATCCTTTAAGGGCTCCTTTAAGGGTTCCTGTTGAAAGCAGGAATTCGGAGTTCAGGGTGTCGAGTCTTCGGTTTGGGACTTACGGGCAAAGGAGCAGGGTAGAAGGGAGAAGATCTTGAGCTTAGTTAGTGCTTGGGTGCTTGCAGTGCGCAGGTGGTTCCTTGCAGCTTAGAATCCGTCGCGGGAATTTCGAGTCAAATTCCTGAACCAAGACTACCGTAAAACTGAACCCTATGATTTTCTGAGCTCCCGATTTGATCCGCAGTCTCTTCTGCAGGGCCGAAAGGGGGTGTGGGGTGTAGTTGGGAACTCGGAATTAGGGCTTTGGGTTTGGGCCCAGAACCTGGAGCAAAAACGCAGTCACTCCTCCAATCCAATGTTACTGATGCAACCAAGAAACTATAGAGGGTTTCTCAACCCTAAACCCTAAAAGTAAGGGACAAGTTAAGGCTTGAACTCCTCAGTGTCGATACCCCTGCTCAAGTTTGAAGGAGCGGAGACATGGCCAGACGATCTGCTACTGTAATGCAAATACTCTAAAAGTCCTGCAAAACGACTATATTGCTACACGAGTACTATAGACGAAAACACGACTATAATCATACCATCATACCAAGACCCCCCCCCACCTACCCTCCGATACACCCTAAATATCCCTGAATATCCACTATTAAGACCATAAGGGCTTCATTAGTGGGCACTTCAGGGGTCCTGATACTACTCTGCTTTTCACGGCCCTGAACCCTAATCCCTAAACCATGAACGCAAAGCTAAGGCAAGATACCATCGACTAATTACTCTACAGTAGAAGCCCAAAAGTTGGAAACCCGAAAGCCTCAATCCTCAAGAGTACTGTATAGGGAATCCCGGCACTATTTGATCTTAATCCGGTTTCCAATTTTATGAGGCTTACTGTATTTACTATTGTGAGGGTTCCTTATTGTGATTATAGTAAAATATACCCCCAAACATTATTCTGATTACTATAAAGGCCCCTAGACTCACGACTTCATATTACAGTCTTGGGGCTTTGGATGGGCCAAAAGCGCTCAGCAGGGCAGGTCGAAACGCCGGTCGCTGATACTGGGGTATAGGGTTGAGTGGATGATGGTTTCTGAGGCTCCATGCACCTATATGGTATATACTTACGCCGCAACCCTAAACCCTAAACCGACTTACGCCTTAGAGTTGGTCCTATTTGGGCGGGTACTTCAAGGCGGGCCTACGTGTAAGAAATGGTGATGAAGACGGTTATCAATAGCTGGATGACGTCGACTCTGAACGCTTCCACAGCCTCACAACTCCAAACCACAGAACCAGGACTCCTCCATCCCAATTACACCATAAATCCGAAGCCAAAACCCTGCTGGATGCTCGGGGTTATACTGATAGACATGGATGCAGCCGGCGGAAGCCTGTGCGAAGATGCAGAAGGCGAGTCTGTGAACATTGCCGCCATAGCGGGTGTTAGCATGGCCTTGTTATTCTGCGACAGTGCCTTGAGTCGGTCACAAGATGTGCCGGCTTGCGACTGCCGTGGTCGCGTAGTTGCGAACTCGGTTGAACAATGAGTAGTCTGTGCCGCAAAGCCGCTGATTTCACCTTAGGATATGCCTCGGGCTTTAGGTCCTTAGGCACTACTTCCGGTAAATGTGAACTGCCACATGTGGAATAGGCGAGGGACCTGCGTGCGCCTCTGTATCATGCTGCGAAATGCTGCGGCCATCCGAAAACGCATGGCTCGCGCACAGACACGAGCCTTCCCAGAGACTCCAATATCCCTTAACTACGGCATATGCCTCCAACTATAGTAGGATCCCTTATATGTCTTAAGGCATCTTCCTTAATTCAGGGATATTGGAGTTTTCAGCTTGTTGCAGTACACTCTGTGAGGCTTGGGGTTTCGGCTAACATGAGCTGCAGACTGAGCCTAGTCGGTATCTTACCTATAGTCTCCATTGTAGTTCCTTTTTTGGTTAACCAAAATCTCTATTGTAGGATCCTAACCATAAAACTGGTTAACCAAAAAAGGAAGTACAATGCAGACTCTAGGTACTTGGGGTTTTCGATCCCCCAGCCGGGGTTGTCGATCCCCCCGGCAGTGTGCATCATCAGTCTGTGGCTTCAGCTTACTTATTGCGTCTGTCATTGTGTTTCCGTTGTCGGAGAGCTTGCAGCTGCTGCAGTGCTTCTAGGTGCCACTGCATTCGCTTTGCAGCAAGTAGAAGATAGTTGTTTTGCTTTTCACCTGACGTCTCTGCCCAGTGCTACCATCCACGAGTGTCAGCTTGAGAAACTATGACTCTAGCCCCGTATATTCAACGTGTGTCGCTGTACTCGCAGAGCTGAATCCCGTCAAAGAAGCATCCAGAAAGTCACTCATATCATCTTGCATACCAACAGACCTGCAAAGCTGAATGCTTTGTGTTCAATTTGTGGGCATTTTGGGGATCCTAGCATGGGGGTAGGTTTTAGCGATGTTTGGATCTGTCAGGGTCGAGCAGTCAAAGGTTAGATCTGAAATTAGCCTGCCCACTTGGGTAGTTGTCAAAATTATGGTCCCTTTTTGGGTACCCTAGATATTAGGTGCCGTATCATAATAAGGACCCAAAAAGGGACCCTAATAATTACAACCGCCCATTTTTCTGATCCACGCCAACGCCGGGGTGCCACGTTTACACGCTTTCTCGCTACATGCTGTGTTAGGAACACGTGGGCACCACTCTGGCTGAGATACCTGCTCGACTAACCCAGAACCAATCTTGAGGAAACACCACAAACCTTAGATGCAAAATCCCCGAGCCTATATACGCTCTAAACACGGAAACCCAAAAAGCCCATAATCCAAGTATCCGCCGTTTGGGGTTCCAGAAATTTCAGTGCGGCTTAGCCACACAAAAGCCCTAACTTCTACAAGCGAAACCACATTCAGATGGGCAAGGGAATGTTCCGGGATTCCTGTCTTGGCCTAGTCACCAACCTTGAGAAGAGGGTTCGAGTTTAGTGTTTACGGTTGAGGGCCCGTTTCCGTGGGGTAAGGTTTAGGATTGAAGGCTTCGGGGTTACGAATAGGGTTGAGGCGTTGTTTGTGTGGCTTGGGTTTGGGCAGGTCGGGTACATGTCATGACGTTGACGCAGGCAGAAGACTACTAGGGTTTAGGGTACCCTAAACCCTAAACCCTAGGCATCAAACCATACCTCAAAACTGGTTGCTCACGTGTGCTCTCGATCTGCTGGTCGCTCTGATGCTGACTAGCTGCATGTCAGCATTGATGCTCCACAAGCCGTTCTGGCTGGCCATCTCCATGGCATAAGGCACAAATAGTTGAGTCTGATTTACAAACCACCTAATTTGCAAACCACCTATAAGTGCTTCTCGAAAATGACCACAGGCTACTGAGCTACTGCCATCACCACCTCAATGACAACAACAACAACAACAACCACGACTGCAACTACAACTATACCTGCGTCTACACCTACACCTAAACCTAGACCTGCACCTACACCTAAACCTGACCCTACACCTGCAGTTACAGCCTACAGCTATATCTACTGCTGCTGCTGCTTCTGCTGCTGCTGCTGCTGCTGCTGCTCCTACCACTAAGACTTCGAAGAGGACTACTGCAGCAACAGGCAAAACAACACCAACAGCAGTAACAAGAAAAGAAACGGCAACAGCAACGGGAGCAGCAGTAGCAGCAGCAAACGGCAGAAGCAGCAACATTGACAGCAGCAGAAACGGCAACATCAGCAGCAGCAGCAGCAGCAGCAAGAGCAACAACAGGAATCGAAACAAAAACAACAACACCAACGGCGACGGTGACGGCGACGGACACAGTTACGGCGACAGCTACAGCAATAGCAATGGCAATTGGCGATAGCAATACGGCAATAGCAATGACCGTCAGAATTAGCATCAGCAATAGCAATAGCAACGCCGACTAGTGCCGACACCGGTTAGTACATGCTAATACTGGTAATGCTGACAGCATGAATGTGATCGAAAACAATAACAGAACTGATAAGTACTTGAAGTGCTATTTATCGATCGTGCTCCTCCGATTCTGCTGTTGCATCGACGACGGCGACTAGTACTGGCAAAGAAAACACTGCCGAAAACAAGATGATGGCATTTGTTCGAGTCAGAAACCAGCGGGTCAACTGCAACTGCATCAATGCGAACTCGTTTCTGAGCCTTCCGCAACAATGTCGATCTTTCGCTTTAATGTTATTGCAGGTATCTTTGGAGTAGGGCTGAGGGCGTAAACCGGCGGTGTTGCTTTCATTTGTCATCGCCATCACGACGCCCGTTCTTCCCGACACTGCTGTTGCGTGTTATTTCTGTGATTGTTGCCGGGCGTTCCATAGCATGTAAACTTGCACGTCGTCAAGACGTGAACCTACACTAGTCCATCTATGCTGACCTGATCTGAAGTATGCCAAAACCCCATATCCTACACCCTGACGTCTACAGAAAGGCACGAGGCATGGGTATAATGTCTGCTACGCGCCGCACTCACAAGCGCCAGCTGCCAGCAGGAAGCAATTTTCGATAGATATGTTGGCCCCAAACGTTTCCAGAACATGGGTGGTAGTACATACTCGCTCTTCTACTGAAAATCGTTGTAGTTGCTGTTCTTTGTAATCATCAGCAACATCTGTCTTCGCAATATTGCCGGGCATGCTAAAGTAAGCATGTAACTACTTTCGATTCAAGACTGGTTGTCTCACAGCTGGCGTTACTACAACCATTGTGCCATATCATCACAGCGTTTATCGTCGTCTGGCCGTGGGGTACAATCAAAACCTAATCTCAAGGTGCCTAAACCGCAGACCCTAAATACTAATTTCCATGCCCCAGACCACCAAGTTACCCTAAACCTAAACCCTAAACCCCAAACCCTAGCCCACAAAGTTACACTAAACCCTAAACCCCAAACCCTAGACCACAAAGTTACCTGCTGGCAGGGGCATCTCATGCCAGCCCACAAAGAGTCTCGTCCCCACCGATGGCCTGCAGTTCAAAACTCATAGCGCCGGTTGATGTTGTACAGGTGAAGAATGAAAGCAGCACTATTTGCAGTTTCATGGGTAGTTATAGGGGTTATCAGCAGGGTAACTATACTTTTAATCCATATTGAGGGACTTATAACCCCACTTATAACTACCCATGAACCTCCAACTATGATAAACTCTGAACAGCAGGACTTCGATTTCAGCGCGTTTGTGCGGAACTGCTATGCTAAATGAAATTTGCCCCTGCTGCTGCTGTCAATGAATGCTGCGACAAAGGCCACCTCTATAATCCCAAAACCCCAACCCCAAACCATGAATCCGACAACGGCGATGACTCCCCACCTAAGACATGTAGGTAGCTCTTGCGATTCTGATAATGGAAGGGCTTCAGAAAACGAAACGAAGGTCCTCTAATTCCAGGGTTCCCTTAAGGGTACTATAAGGGTTCAGGGCTCTTTAGGGTTTGGTGCTTGTTGCAACAAGGAGTTCTTTGTTTGACGGCCCTTCATAGAAACAATCAGTGAATGTAGCGCTCGGCCGCTTACATTGTGCAACTCCCATGCAAATATTTGACTACAATAGTACAGAGACGACAAAGCATCAGTTCCACTTTTTCTGAGCAGTTAGTTGATACAACAGCAGAAAGTTTTGAATGCCAGTCCATAATTACCACGAACCTGGTGCCGACACCAACAGCTAGGTTCTTCGATCGGGATGCACAGTCATTGTCACCGCAGAGGTACATACAGATTCAACAGTTGGGGTTTCTAGACGGTTTAGTAAGGGTCTATCAAGGGTTCCGGGCATCATTACGGCTTATGGAGGGCTTGGGGTGGAGTTGTCGAAGACCGGGCTGCGGCTTGAATGGTTTGGCTCTATGTTACTCAAGTAAAGCGGATATACCATATAAGCCTGATACACTAATGGTATTCCTTGGGGGTTCCTGAGCAAAGTCTCGCTACCATCGAGCGCCACGCCTGAAAAAGAGGTCCCTATACAACAAACCAAACTTACGAGGTTCCTGAGGCTCCATCTTCTTCTCGTGATCAAGTGTACAAAACCCCAAGGGTCTAAGCACCTAATAATCAGATCATCTCCAAAATCCGAGCTTGTATATCTGCAACCGAGTACCTCGAACTTGGGTCCTTTGGACCCTGAGGGAAAGGAACTGAAGCCCCTGGATAGAGGCTCAAGGGGTAATACAGCGGCCTTGATATTTAGAATAGGGTTTTGGGGCACATTATACTATACTTATAATAAGCAGACCCCCCCAAAATAGTATTGGCAATTATTTCAGCCCCTATATTAGGTTTACAAGCACCTTGATTGAGGATAGAAGTAGATATAACATAAAGACTTAATCTTACAACCCTACTTACTTCATCTTAAATGCACCTTTTTCTCTGCCAAGGGTTGATCACCGTCGCTCCCCGGTCAGGA